TGCTCGGGAGTCTACACTAAATTCACACTGTATATAGCATCAGGGCCCAGTCTCCTCTCCTTGATTTCTCTAACCTAGCCCATCCTGTCTACACCAGCAGATCAAAGATGCAAAACGTCATCTTCCGTGGTTATTCAGCTCTTCACTGAAAAAAGAATTCTCTTCCCTTCCTGTCCTTCCCCCCCATTGTCTTCCTTTCTATGCACCCCATTAAAATTCCATAGGTCCTTAAAGTCTCCTCCAAACCCCAGCTCCTTAATAAGCCTCCTTAACTACTCCAGCCCTCACCAGTGTTCTCCTGAGTCGCTACAATATTTGTGTGCTCTGTGACACCAAACACTATGCAAGTGACACACACAATTCCATTCTACCACCCAACACCAGTGAGCATTTATTGAACAGCTACTGAAGTTCATAGCACTGTGCAGGCATGATGCATGATGTAAATGCAGTCTCCTCCTGCCATCAACTGAGGGAGTCGAATTGGAGGAGATCAAGGACCCCTCCTAGAATTCCACTCCTTCATCCATTATATACTGATCCAATTTTGAAGTTTAAACTTGAAGTTAACACAAGGTTTCCAGTTGAGGAAACTTTCCCAAACTAAGACAGTGTTTTCCAAAGATTCCCAACATTATAATTTCTTGCGACTGAGCGCATTCCGCTGTGTTAGTGATCGAGCCCGTTTCAGACACAAGCTTTAGAGCGTCTGTGATTTGGTCTGCAGCTTAAACTGTGAGACCTCTCCAAATCCTCAAAGTTAACTTAGAGAGTATCAGATTGCAACCCCTTCCCCCACCACCATTTAAAAAAAAAAAAAAAAGGCCAAAACCTTTCAAATTGAAGAGGCAAAGTTTGATCCCTTCCATGTTGAGAGCTGAAAACAATAGCAGCTTTCTGCTCTAGCACGACTTCAAAAGGCTGCCGAGTGACTGTTCTAAGAATACTTGGTTGTAGATGACTGAAGAAATGCACAAGGCATCCTCCTGCGACTCAGTGCCCCATTAGCACGAGGGAAACGCTGACCCCACCCCTCCCAGCACCTTTAATAAAGCAACGACTGGTAATGGCATGACCTAGGTAGATATGGGCAATTGGAAGGTTGAGCCTTTAGCGAGCAACGCGGGGGTCGGGGAGGGAGTGGGAAAAGAAGGGAGAGATCTTGGCGGTTAAACAACACCCTGCTGCAAGAGAGCCAATGAATTAAAATTTGTTGAAACGACCTAAATAATGCATAGATTTTTAAAAAATCAACTGGAGATGGGTGACCGATTGGGCTGATTCCAGAGGCGTGAGTCCCCGGTTGTTGCAAAAAAAATGCCCGAGGCGAGGAGGTACCAGACTCGGGCGTGAAGTAGCAACCCAGAGTGCTCAGCAAACACTTTTTTCTGGAATGGATCTGGAGCGCGCTGAGCGGATCCGCATACCGTGCGAATGCCTCTGCGGGTTCACCTACCCGCCGCCTCTTCTCGCTGGTGGCACCTGGTCGGCGCTCACAGCGCTCCTGGGAAGAAACTGCGCTGCGAACTTCCCGGCCTCGGAGCCCTGCAGCTTGGCAAGCCGCACTGCCGCGCCAGCCGCCGCGGGGAGGCTGGTATTCAACCTCCCCGCCGCCCCCTCCCCCCCCGCCGCGGTAAAAGTTTGCTCCCTATTCGCCGCTCCCCCCCTCACCTCCGCCCTCCGGCTGGAGGACCACAGAGGAGTTCGTGGGTCCTCTGTGCACAAACACACCCACCAACAAAAGAAAGCCCATTAAATCTTCTCTCCTGTGAACTCGCGCCCCAGCGGATACCTCTTTGAACTGACCCCCGCCTCCGCAGCCCCCGCAGCCCCCTCGCTGTCTGGGGCGCGCCCGGCCCTCCCGGGCTCACTCCTTCCCTCCCGGCTGCGCACTTTTGCAGCGCGCTTGGTCTTTGATGTTTCTTTACATTATGGCAGAGCAGCCACACTCTCTTCCCGGGCGCGGGGCTTTGTGTAACGGAACTGACATTTGGCCTTGATACCTGTATCTCTTGGTGATTGCAACAAATTTCTAAAATAAATATTGTACTTTGATCTCCCGGCATTGCATTTTTAATGGACGCTTCGAACATTACTTCATTAAGAATAAGTTTTTCAGGAGCCCGACTGCAAAGGGAGGGAAGCTAAACAGCAGCTCGTAAAAGTCTCTCTCCAAACTTCAGCTCGTGCTTGGAAGGGCTACAATCCTGGCGGGTTTTCACAAATGGAGGTGAGGCCGACAGCAAGGACTTCGAAGAGTCAAGAGAGGGCCTACTGTGCGCCCCACCGCCCTAAAGACTTTACTTATATTACCTCTTTTAAGCGTACAAACACTCCACAAGATGAGCACTACTATCACCCCCATTTTACCAATTGGGAAACTGAGGCACAAAGAGGTTGTGTAACTTGCTTGCCAAGGTCACCAACTAAAAAGCGTCAACTAGAAAATCTGGGTTCAGATTTTCTGAGTCCGACCTCTTAACCACCAAGCACTACTCCTTTTCGTCTCCTGGCCACTGCTGGTGGTTTCACCGGCTAATGGGGGCATGTTGGAGGGAAAAGTTCTCTCCTATAACAACTACGCAGATGTGAACTGGCTTTTCTTGCGTTTGTGTTAAAATAGAGAACATATTCGGCAAATGTTTCCAGCCTGTTTGGCCCAGCCTGGCCAGACCCTCGGGGATAGCGGGATTTGAAGAGCTCAAAGGAGCGGCAAAGGAAGCACGCTAAGGTACCAGACCCGCTTGGACAGTTCGGAGGTGTGCCTGCGCGCGCGTGCGCCACGGAACTCCCTGGCCTCAGACTGGCATCCGGGAAAGGGCGCGTTCGAGTGCCAGGCTTCACCCGCCCTCGACCCAGGGATGGGGCGTGGAAGGGGATAGGATTGCCAGGCCTCGGAGCAAAACTTTAAGTCTCCTCCCTTCCCCGCTTCCAGAGCACCCGGAGCTCATCTTCAGGAGCCTTGGCCGAGCGAGCTGTGTGGTCACTGCTCATCGTTCCTGGGGTTACACCTTGGGGGTGGGGTATGCCTGTGAACTACTCCTAGCATTTGGACGTCATGCGGCCCATTCCTCTTCAGCAGGATGTTTCTATTTCTCTGGCAGATCCTGGGCATGTGGAAATATGGGTCTGGTGGCGTAGCATCCTGACCCCTGATGGGAATGCAGAGGGCACCAAGATACAGCTCAGTCTCCGAATCAGAGGCGCGTTGGGGTTGAGGTTGGGTTGACCGCTGGCGCCGCACGGCGCGCTGGGCCACACGGCCCGTCCTCTCAAGTCAGTCCCGGCCGCGGTGCGGTCTCCAGAAGGCCGGACGCAACATGGCTCGAAGAGCCCCGCATAGCCGGCGGCCTCGGAGAGCGGAGACCGTGCCTGCGGGGAGGCCCGGCGTGGAACGGGGTCCACCAAGCCCAGGCGGCCCACTCGGTTGCTCGGCCACTTGAGCGGCGGCCGCCGGCGGGAGGCCTCAGCGGCCCTTCCGGCCCCTAATCCCCTTCAGTGCCAGGAGGACCCCGCGCCGCCACGCCCGCCTCTTCCTTCTCCCCGGCCCAACCCTCCCAGGTGAGGAGATCCCGGCGTTCGCACCGACCCGGCGAGACGCGCCTGGCGCCCTGGCCAGACCGAAGCAGGTGGCCGACCGGCCCTCCGCGGTCAGGCATACGGGCCGGCGAGGGTTCGGGGTGAGAGTTTCCCTGACCCGGGGCGCACGCCACACTCCTGAACTTTCTTTTCTTTCCAAAGGTGACGGGAACAACAGTTTTTATTGACTTTTCTTTCCGGTTAAAGGGCCTTCCTCTTACTGTGATGTGGTTTGTTCAAAACAAAAGGTTTCCTCGACTGCGCCTTACTTCTTCCAAGTAGTTCCCTGGCAGGTATGTGCGGCTTGCAAAGAGCGCGCACTCGCTGGACGGGGTTAGAGAGAGAGATTGCTAGCACTGACGGGGGTTTCGGGGGCCTAATAGCCGTCAGCCGCCTGACCGGCCGTCCGCGGCGTCCAGGGGGCCAGCCTGAAGAGAGAAGAGCGACGTCACACTTTTTTCCTCTGGTGTATATTACGGTTTGCTCTGGGTGTCCTGCCAAGCCTAGCTTTGGTGGTAGGCGCGGTACGGGTGTTTTTCCCAGGCTCACTATTTGCAAAAGTTGTGGCCGGAGAAAACTTCCAGGTCGCCAGCAGGAATGTCACAAGAGAGCCACAGTGGCTTGTCAGGCAGGCGGCCCCGGAGCGTGCGCGCCACCCACTGCCGCCTTGGGCGGCCGCCTGGCCCCGCCCCGGGTCACAGCCCTGCCCGCAGCTCCACCGCGGCGGGCGGGGGGAGGGGGCAGGCGGCCCGCAGGGCGAGGTGCGTCCCACGCCCCGCCCCGGGAATTCCCTCGGGTCCGCGGTGTGCGCGGGCCGCTGCGTGTGCCGTTCCCGTGTGGGGTGTGTAAGTACGGGGGGAGGGGAGAATTACCCTCATCTCAGTCTCAAAGTCCCGCGCCTGGAAGCCAAAGGCAGATTTCTCTGGAGATAACAAAGACACTTTGTCACTTTGGGCGCTGCCTCGGTGCAAATCTTTAATTGCAAGGGAGTTGCGGGGGAGTGGGGGGGGGGAGGATCGAGTGTCTCCAGCAACCCAAGCGCGGGTCTCCAGGCGGCAAGGCCCCCTTTGATCAGGAAAATCCAATTATTTGTGTATATACATTTCCCACATAGTGATTACTTCATTAATTGTCCCGCCTTTATCTCCTCCCTTCCCATCCCCCCTAATAATCAGTTCTTTTATCCCGACCAACAAACACACCATAGGAGCTTTGTGGATTCAAAGGATTTGCTTTCGCTTCTGAAAGAGCCGCTATTCTTTGATGATTGGGTAGCGGCAAACTTCAAAGCCATAAATCTTCCCTCTGACTGGCTGGCGGCCCAGCAAAGTCCTTATCAAATTCTTGGAGGTGATCCTGAAGCGCTCAGACCGCGCGCGGGGCGAGCGAGCGGGGTGCGACGAGGGGCGCTGGAGGGGAGGGCCCCGGAGCGCAGAGAGGGCGCCGGGGAGGGACGCTGGGTGGCCGTTGGTCCTCGCCTTCGGGTCTCCATGCCTCGGCAGCGCCCTGCTCCGCAGCCAACGGCCCGCAAGCTGTAGCTATGGCTGCCGTGGCCGTCCTCCGGAACGACTCTCTGCAGGCCTTCCTCCAGGTCAGGTCTGGGCTCGGAGGGAGGGAGGGAAAGGTGGGAAGGGTCGCGTCCGGATCGATCCTGGTACTCTGGGCACCCTGAATCTCAAAGGGACCCCTGCTCGGGGGATGCCGCTAGAGTCAGACCGAAGGGTGCCCACGTCAACTTCGCACCTAATCTTGGTGTCTAGAGTGTGGCCTTTGGGGGAGGGACGCGCGGATCCGGGGGTTGTTGGGACTTGCGCGTCTGGCAGAGAATAGGGCCCGAGCCCACCCTGTTGGGCCCTCCCGCTGACTTTCAGCCTGGGGTGGGCGGAGGAGGAGCGCGAGAGTAGCGTGGAAAGAGCTTAAAAGATGGGAGGGAGGGCGGATGGGCAGCTGGGCTGTGGGTGTTTCCACACCCTTTCTGACCGCGGAGCCGGGAGCGGCCCGTCGGATCCCTCTCCCCTCCCACCTTGTGCCTGCTTTCTCTGAGTCTGGATGGCGTCTCTTTGCACCAAGTAGTTTCACGGGAAGCGCTCAAGCGCTCCGCGTTCCGGTAGCGCAGGCACCAAAAGTTAACCGTACTGGTGGGTGCGTGCGTGGGGTGCGGTGGCGGGGGAGGGACACCGGGACGGGAGAGGGGCGGCGGTATAATAGCTGGCGTGGGGGTGGCGGGCCGGCCCGGAGACAGCGCTTGGAGCGCTAACCTTTTGTCTCTTCTCCGCCCTCCCCCGCCGCCGCCCATGCAGGACCGCACCCCCAGCGCCTCCCCGGACCTGGGCAAGCACTCGCCCCTGGCGCTGCTAGCCGCCACCTGTAGCCGCATCGGCCAGCCCGGAGCCGCTGCGCCCCCGGACTTCCTGCAGGTGCCCTACGACCCCGCGCTGGGCTCGCCCTCCAGGCTCTTTCACCCTTGGACCGCAGACATGCCGGCGCACTCACCGGGCGCGCTGCCGCCCCCGCACCCCAGCCTGGGCCTGACGCCGCAGAAAACGCACCTGCAGCCGTCCTTCGGGGCGGCGCACGAGCTGCCGCTCACACCCCCCGCCGACCCCTCGTATCCCTACGAGTTCTCACCCGTCAAGATGCTGCCCTCGAGCATGGCGGCGCTGCCCGCCAGCTGCGCGCCTGCCTACGTGCCCTACCCTGCACAGGCCGCGCTGCCTCCCGGCTACTCCAACTTGCTGCCCCCGCCGCCCCCGCCCCCGCCGCCCACGTGCCGCCAGCTGTCCCCCAACCCGGCCCCCGACGACCTCCCTTGGTGGAGTATCCCGCAGGCGGGCACCGGTCCGGGGACTTCCGGGGTTCCGGGGGGCAGCCTCGCCGGCGCCTGTGCCGGGGGCCCCCACGCAGCC